CTCCCGGGGCAGCAGCTCCCAGGCCAGCAGCAGTTTGCTGGGGGGGGTGCTCAGCAGGGACTCAGGCACGGGGACCCGTCTCCTCACTTTGGTGCCCTCCTCATTCACCTCCAGCAGCTCTGAGAACTGCAGGGCGTAGAGCGTGAGCCGCCAGTCACGCGTCAGGTATTTCACCTGCGGGAGAGAGGGGCCACTATGTCCCCATGAGTCTCCCCAGGCAGGGACCACCCTAAACCTGGCATCCAGGCAGGCTGCAGCCCCAGCAGCCTGAAGTCAGGGCAAGGCAATCCCCCCCCTTCCACCTGAGGATCTTCAGGGTTTGCAGGAGAAGGTCCCCAGAGCCCCCTGGACCGTGGCAACAAGATACAGCTTGCCCATACATCACACCGCCAGCGCTTCCCTGTGGCTTTTTGGATGAGGAATGACCTCTCCAAAAGCAGCCCAGGGGAACATGGGCAGAAGAGGTGAACCCAGCCCTGGGGATGCTTTGAGGACTGTTCACCCCTTCCCCAGCCACCCTCCCGGGCAGGAGAACTGTTGCAGCACGCTGAAGGCAAAGGGCAGAGCCAACCAGTGCTTTGCCAGGACACAGAGAGCCTGAGAAGAGCCTGGATCTCCCCATAAACCCCACCAGAAACAGCCAGAGCACACCCAGACATCCTTCACACAAAGGTCACTTCCCACCCAGCTGGCCGGCGCCACGGGCTGCTCACCTTCTTGAAGGACGTCAGCAGTTTGATGCTGACAAAGCCCATCTTGTTCTTCTGGACATGTTTCAGGAGGAAAGCATCCTTTGCCAGATTCTCATCAGAGAGATAGAACTCCACCTGGGACACGATCCTCCGGACGAGCTGCGGGTCAGGGCTGGAGCAGTTGGAGTCCAACACATCGGTCCCCAAAGCATTGCTCACATCACAGAAGCTCCTGGCAGAGCAGGAGGGACACAGGCGTGAGTTGGTGGCCTTCTGGACGTGCAGCACTGCCTGGTCCCTGCCCCAATGCTGCAGATAGCAGAGACACCGGAGTGACGCAGGGCCATCAGCTTTGCCCTGGTCACACGGGAGCAACGCCAGCCTGCACGCCGCAAGCCTCCCTGTGCCGGGACCACCAGTGCCAGACCATGGAGCTGAACCCATCCCAGACATGGGACACATTCACTTGGGGACAAACAGCAGGTAAGAGCTGGGCTGAGACCCCACGCCCATCCCAACGGCCGCATACCCGTTGAAGCTCTTGAAGAAGTCCTCCTGGCTGAGCAGGGCAGGTGAGCGGCTCGGCGGTGAAAGGAGATGCAGTGCTGGGAAGGAATTTCTTTGCACGGGCAGAAGGGTGCTGCAGCTGGGCTGGGAACTGAGCCCCAAGGCCACCCCAGAGCTACGTGATGACATCATCCTTCCTTCATCTGGGACATTACACGGGAGAAGGACAGTGCTGGGACGCTTCCCGCCCACCGCCAGCCCCAGGGCAGAGCCCTGCTCCAGGCTGCAGCCCCCAGCCCAGGGATGGGGGAGCAGAGGCAGCCCCTTGCCATGCCCTTACCTGCTTGGCAGCGCTGGGAAGAGTAGAAAATTCTTGCACTACATCCCAGAGACCTGCAGGCACCAGGCTCCAACCCTGCCCACCTCCACACAAAGGCTCTTAAAAGACAAAGAGAAAATAAAGGAAAAGAAAGAAAGAAAAAGCCCTTTAGAGCAGCTAGGCTGCTGGTTTATAAGAGCAGCCGCCCCCCCA